ATTGTTGTGCTTATCCTTGTTCCATTTCAAACGGGGCAAGGCGAAGTTGTGCAGCGCCTGAGACTTAGCCGGAGCTGTAGAAGCCATTAAAAATCCAAACGAAATTCCGATCACCGGAATAATTCGTACATATAACCAATGTATATTTATAGAGAGAGGGGTGAATATGGCTTTAGGTGAAGAATGGAGTGGCGTAATAGAACGGTTATATACTTATATATACTGACAGCCTTAGGAGGAAGATGGGCATTATATGACTTCCCGACTTTACCCCTCTGAATTTATTAGGTACGAGAAATGATTTTATTTTTTTATTTTTATTTTTTTATTTTTTTGGCTTAATCTTCATTAAAAAAAACATATATTATTATTATTCCTTCGAATTTTACTTTGTTTTAAAATTTACATATATATTGAACCATTCTTGTGTCTTCATGTTCATGCAACGAAGTTGAAATTAGTGATATCTCATGTTTATAACAAGAAATGAAAATTCGTATCTCATTCGAATTTTAATAGTAAATAAAATGTCTTGAGGTTAAGAAAATAATTTACAACTATATTTTTGCAATTAAATGGTTATTTCTCAATATTCTTGTAAATATTCACCTCATGAATTACAGATCTCCTATAAATAAAGATTTATTAGTATAACAGTATTATCGACATTATTAAATAACGACAAATGTCCATTATATCATCTATGCATATTTAATTAAAACGACAACAAACGTCCATTATATCATCCAATCATATTAATAATAACGAAACATATCCCAATATAAAAAATTATAAAGTGTACAATAAACCTCTTATGCATCCCACATATTTTTCATGCCCATAGAGATTTCTCAAACTACCTAACAAGGAAATATTCAACAAAAAAGACACAAAACATCAAATCTTCCAGAAAAAAGAAAAGAAAAACTGTGATTCTATAGACAAATCAAAGACGTAAACTTCTATTCACAATTCTCTGAAGAAAGGGGGTTGGGGGGGGGACATGAACTCTAAAGAGCAATTGTTTTTCATTACAACTTGAAATGCCATATAGAAGTAACAGACAGAAGCTTTCGATGTCGACTACATAAATCTTTCTTTGCCATCCTTTATGGTCTGTTGCTATAGTTACCGGAAGTTCGACGCAGTTATATGCTTAGCAACGGCAACATATCAAGTAAAAGCACGATTAAAGTCGCATAAAATACATTTTTAGGATTATGGCATCCAACTTGCGTACGCATAGTAAACTCACCAAACTAACACAACAATAATGTAATCAAACCGAATTACAATTTTCCGATATGAGAAATGCAATTTAACACTACTGCATAATATGTGGCGTTAATTATATGATCCATTTAATTGGCTCTATCATATATTGTCACATAAACTGGTACTGTAGCAAGCTAATTAACATTATTTTTTCAAGACTCTACCTTTCCATAAAATTTAGGCTAATTGTATGAATCAGTGGCATTAATGGCAACTATAACCCAGGAACACCTGATGCTCATTAAATTAAGAGTAGTTATTGCACAAATATTTTTAAAATAATAATAATAATTTCAAGCCAAAACAAACAGATAAATCAGATATATTCTCACATCATACTGTTTTTGAATGTTCCACAACCAAGAACCTTGCTACTTGTACAAAAGAATTTGTACAAAAATGTTGACAAACACTCACATGATGGCCGGCCCCACATGAATAAAAAATTGAAAATAAAAAGTGGGCCCCCTCACATGTGAGGGTTTGTCAACATTTTTGTACAAATTCTTTGTACAAGTAGCAAGGTCTAATGTTGACAAACCCTCACTTGTGGGGGGGCCCACTTTTTATTTTCAATTTTTTATTCATGTGGGGCCGGCAATCATGTGAGTGTTTGTCAACATTTTTGTCAAATTATTTTTGTACAAGTAGCTTTTTTCCACAACCAATACAGATGCATGACTTAATGATGCATCTTCTCATCTAATTGACAGCATGGATCAATTACGATCTGGAAAGCGATAAATCATGAATCAGATTACATGTACGAACACGAACAAGCAAAGAGTCACACGTGGATCACCAGTATATGTCTCCACAAGTAAGGGAGAAGGGAGGCACGTGTTAACATGTACGAACACGAACAAGCAAAGAGTCACACGTGGATCACCAGTTTATGTCTCCACAAGTAAGGGAGAAGTGAGGCACGTGTCGAATTTAATTGCCTCTTTATATCAATCTAACAGGAAATATGTGTTGTTTTCCAGCAATGGCCAAAGACGATTGAAAAGAGGTCGTGCAAGTTACACATGCTGAGGGTTAAAGCCAATAAAACAACGACTACTTCCTGAAACTATATGACATAAAAGTCGTTCTCAATCTAGCAAATGTATGAGAAAGAAGTGAACATAGTGGCAAACTACTGCGGGAAGGATTATAAGTTGGCAAAAGAGATCACACTGATCCTTCGATGAATACATATATGCTGTCAAGATTAGCGTTTGCATGTACTAACACTCAAGACAGGAATCTTAAAACTGTTGCAGATCTACCAAAAAGGGTTTAGGACATGATTGAGAACACCATCTTGGACTTAAAACTTCAATCATCCAGTCCAAAACATAGAAATTAGGATCAACAAATAATTGAAGTACGTATTAAGAAAAAGATCAATACAATCCCCTGGTACTATCCAAACTGAAACTGAAGTATCATACTGGCTAAGACAAGGATCAGTGCATCAGAAAATGGGGCAATGCAGAAAATGCTATAAATAAACCAATAAACAAAATCTATGTAATACGAATTGCTTCTGTTGACAAAATTATTGAACAAATGTAGCAAAATTAAACTTTATATGACAAGAAAAAGAAAAAAAATGATGATCCAAGGAAAACGACATGATTTTTCATAGAATTTTCACAAGATTTCTGAATTTCTTCCACAACGTTTGCTGGATGATACCCCCAAATGACTCAAGACTTCCATTCTGGATCTTTACTTTACTGGCAACTGTCCTTCCTACAGACGAAAGAAAAAACAAGCCATGTCACATAAACTGAGAAGAAACGTATGTTCAAAATATGTGTCTAAAGTTTCATTTTGTGCTTCTATAGAAACGTATAGAAAGAAACTGTTAAATTTGCAGTTACCCTTAAGAAGACTGGCAACTGTCTCTTACCATCCTCTAATCATTAGCAGAAAACACAATAGAGCTGGACCTGAATTTTACATACTGTTGGTGAATTTTTGCATTTCTAAGGAAAAAGAGGGAGGAGTAGACCAACATGGTCTATTATCGTTGCTAAGGATCTAGTTCTACAGGATGTTCCACTAGATTTAGCAATGAACAGTACAGACAGGCACAAAAGGAATATATCCCGCTCCAAATTATTTTAATAAGGCATATTTTTATTTTTATTTTTTGGGTATGAAGATTGTCGACTGTCTCATTAATCTTAAAAACCTTTACTCAGCTGATTCGAGTACTGACCTAACATAAGGAATATATCCCGCTCCAAATTATTTTAATAAGGCATATTTTTATTTTTATGTTTTGGGTATGCAGATTGTCGACTGTCTCATTAATGTTAAAAATCTTTACTCAGCTGATTCGAGTACTGACCTAACATTTTAAAAATGTAGTGCTATATAAACTATTTAAGGATGGATAATGGTACATAATATTTTACACAATCTTTTACGTCCTCCTCATATGGAGGGGGGCCCATGCACAGTAAAATATTTGTGGACCCCCCTCCATGTGAGGGGGGTGTAAAACTATGTGTACACCACAAGGTGTACACATAGCATTATTCATTTAAGGATAGAGGATACAAATTTCCCCTTTCCGGCATTGCAAAAAGCTCCAGTTTTCAAGGAAGTAAGAATGGTTTAATTTGCTATCACTTTCTCATTTAGGTTCTTTCTCTAATATCTAAAAGCCATCTTCACCCCAGAGCGTATTAATTTGTTAACGAAAAAGAAAAGAAAGGGGCGCAAAGAAGATAAAAATTGAGGAAAAAATAAGATATCAATTTCTTCATACATTCAAGGTTACGTATATATATAATTGAATTAATCTAATAAAATCTAAATAGATATATTTTAAATCAAACTCTGTAATTCTAACACTTCTCTTTATCTCAATCTTGATCTCAATCACATCTATTTTGTAGCCAGTCACTATACATTACCAGCTACTAAGAGTTTCAAAATCATGTAATTTGTAAAAACTAATTGTGGACAGTATACAAGAAAATAAATTAATAACTTCCAATAAAGTGATTCCAAGAAGCACCTCATCCACTCAACGGAAAACCAGATTAATGTACAGGCAAGTGGTACTAATAATATTGAACTAGGGAGTTTATTGAAGGGTTTGATACATACCCCTATATCCCATCGTCATATCGTTCCTGTAGTTTGACACTTACCCCTATATCCCATAGTTGTATCATTCATGAAGGTAAGGTATAGTGCGGGGTCCTTTACTTGTAAAGTTTCATTTCATATATTACAAGGGTAGGGAAATCCTAACCCCCCATGAAGGTTTGGATTTCATGGCCTAAAAACCACTGTCCAAACTGGACTGGCTTTTCCAAATAAAAAATAAATAAATAAATAATAATAATAATAATAATAATAAATGAACTGGCACTAACAATCCATATGACATATTCTCACCTACTTTTGCAACACTATCCTAGCACTGTACTTGCACGGATATTTAACCACCATGCAGTAAATCTACAAAAGAGCAGCTATATAGAGTCATAAAGGCAATTTGTTTTTCAGATAACTTGAGAATAAAGCTATATCATTAAAAAACTTAAAATTAAATTAACTTCATTAAGTTCATTGCAGGACTTCTCTGAGATAAAGGATCATATAAAAGATCCACTTTCTTTTTGTGGGAAGTTGTACCTTCTAATGGCACAAAAAATCAGCAGCAGAAGCCCTCTAACTTGTTTAGAAAATATGGAAAGAAAACAAATGAAACAGTCTTACTTGCCCTGCAAGAAGCACAATCATTTAAAATTTTGCAAGAATTAGCATAAAATTTGATTGTCGTTATTCTTTTTCGTCATTGTTTGATAACAATTTTTTAAAAAATAAAAAAAATAAAAGAAACTAGTGACGTACCTTTCGCACATTTTCACACACTTTATATCGGTCTATGGTTATTGTTTCCAAATTACCACCTGGGATAATTAGCTGCAAGAACATCATAATCAATCATGATTAGTTAAAAAAATCATTAATGGAAAAATGAAATTCAAAATCACTAATAAGATATTAATTGTTCATACATCAATCTGTCTCTGAACATTCTTGTTCCTCTTCTTTGGCTTCTTGGAGGGCATTTTCCCAGTAATAGCAAGCAGATCCGCCACAATTTCTTCAGGTTTGAGTTCAAGAGAGAAGCTGGGCAACTTATGAAAATTGGACATCTCTCCATCTTCTTTCTCCTTTTTTCCTAGACCACTCTTCCCCGCAGATTTTGGCTGCTTATCTTTAGACCCAGCAGCTGTAGATGATGATCCAGCAGTCCATTTTGCACTTGCAGTCTTCGAAGATTGATTAGAGTTTCTGTCCCTGAAGTTCCATTTCTTGCCACCCTTATAATCTGCTCCTCCAATTTCTATTGACTTGTCATCTTTCATTGATAAATTGGCCTGATCTTTTTCCGGCAGTGACATTATTTTTCCCTCATCTTCTTTCGCTAATTGCTTTACCTTCTCCTTGTCTTCTATGATTAATGGCAGTTCTCTGTTTCCATCCACCATCCCTGCCTCAGAACTAGCCCTACTCCTAAAAGAGAGCTTCAGCTCCTTCGCTTCTTTAGGGAAGCTTTGACCTCCACCTGCACTACAAACACTGGAAACAATCACAGTTTCCTCCATCTTCTGAGCCAAATTCTGTGCTAATTTCTCAGAATCTGAAAGCAATTCCCCCACTTTTACACACACGTTATCCACTATTCTCTCCTCATAATTGGATAAACCATTCTTCAATGAGTCAATGCAGGAGGCTTCCATTTCAGATACAAAGCCCCGCACGAATGGTGAAGATGACCGTGAGGAGGGGGAGACAGCATGCGGAGATGACTGGACCCTCAACACAGAATTAATAGGTTGGGATGGCTGTGGTGCTGCAGCAATGGCTGGTGGTGATGGTTGCTGCTGTGGAGACCGCATAGTTACTTTGCGAATACGTGTGCTGTTCCGAGGGTGGCTGGCGGTTTGCCACTTGAGTTTTGGAAGCTCAAAGTTGTGAAGTTTCTTTGATCCAGATGATCCTTGTGACGACATAGTTGCTATTTCTTTTTGTTGATTAAACTAATAGAGAAACCCAAAAAAATGACCTTAAGATAGTACTGAATTAAAATCAAGAGAGTAAAAGCAAGTATTTGAGCAAGTAATTATGTGTTTGTGTGGTCTGTGCAACTGTCGTGGTCAGTACATGCATTTCTGTATGTGGATCATGTGCAATGTCTGTGCAAGTAAATATAGCGACATGTACACATACACTGGGCACTTCATCTGGGTTGGGATGATTATACGCATGTCAATTTGACATGTTGCACGAGTATCAATGTATGTGAGTCACTGGTGTCAATAAATTTAAATGCACACACATACACACACCTTGGGAGAGACAAACCCAACTAGAAATCTTTCTACTAGAATTTCCTATAAGTTTTGCAACTTAGTGGAATCATAATAAAATTTGACATCCATCTTAAAAATCAAATAGCTCTACTAAACTTTCCTATAATTTTTTGCAACTTAGTGGAATCATTACAAAAATTGACATCTATCTTAAAAATCAAATAGCTATAAGAAATTTATTTAGACTTTTTGGATAATATCAATTACTTCATAACATATAATATGAAAATAAAAATATTAAGGAGAAATATAATACCTATATTACAACAGTAATACTACCTGCATCCATATTTGTGGACCAAATTTTGATGGCCAAATTCTCTCTCTCTCTCTCTCACACACACACACAGTAGGAAACTACAGAGTGCCAAAACACAGGCCAGAACTTGTGGACAAGCTATGTATAAATGCTTAATTTATGTATTCAACCCACTGTGACATCGGCAAAGTAATCTTGCCAATTTTCTTACCTCGAATTTATTTAGTATTGAGCAGTTCAACCTTTCAAATTTTCATACCCTAAGATTTACGAAGAAGAAAGATAAAGCTCCATAGAGCAATATTAAAGAGTATTTAAAAAAGAATTTCGATGTAGAATGTATTTTTACAGATGTTTACACCAATGAATTCCTGCTAGAAACTAATAATTTCAACACGTATCAATACTTCCAGAGATATTAAAATTTAATCTAAATAAACAAATGTGTACTACACAAATTGTAACTTTTAGAATTAGCAAATGAAAGACCTCACGGATCCCAAAAAGAAGAAATGAAAGAAGTATGGAAACAATTAGCAACATTAAACGTGATAGTAGTAGTTTCAAATTAAATAGACCAATTAATTTTCATATGAAAGCACCTTAAAAAATATCAGCCATAATCTTTTTAATCAAACCAATTTACCATTGTTGAGCGATTTTCTTCAAATGAAGGTCCCCAAAGAAACTTAGATCATATACGAGTCAAATAGGGAAAAAAATAAGGATAGAAGGACGATACTCAATGGCAAATAAAATCATCACAATGTCATTTATTTTCAAAAAATTGAAGTTGAATCTCTAGAGTAGAATAAGAATGAATTGAAGTAGGAAAAGCATTTGATGCATGAGTAAATTATTGAGAAAATAAATAAATTATACAGTCATATCTACAAATCCGGGAATATCACAACTACTAAGGAAATGAGTTTAAATGTACTCACATGGGTAGAAGATAATTGGATTTTCTTCCACTCAACCCTTAAGAAAACCACAATAGAAACCTGTATGAAATAAGAGAGATGTAATTTGCTAAAAAAAATTGCTCATACATATAAGTATTCAACAGGGTCGAGTTATGGAGAAACGGAATCCAAGAAGTAACTCGAATCACCGACATGCGATTTTTCACAAAAATAGGGCATGGACACGGCGGGGACACGTCAATTTAAATTCTTAAGAATTTTACATTTATTTGCTAGATATTCGTTTCTATATTTTTAATATAGGAACCGACACATGGCATTGAAACACTTGCTCTTATTCCCAATAAATTTAGGTGGTTACATTTCTCCTTTTTCACCATAAATGTAACATATGAAAACAAGAAAAAGCGGTTCCAGTTTTCAGATTCTCAAGCTTCCTGATCAGGAAATTCTCTGATATTGTTGATGCATGTATGTGGAGAAATTTTTTGAGTAACATGTTCTTGAAACCCGTTGGAAGCAAAAAGAGAAAACATTAGCAAAGCAAAAAAGGATGAAGGACAACAAAATCAAGACTTACTCTTGTTTTTAAGATTACTGAAAGATGTAAAGTTAATGCAGGCATATGTGAAAAAGACTTGAGAGTTTAGAACACAGAAAACTGAGCAGGCTTGGAATTGTAAAGTGAAACACAGAGAGACATGAGAGAAAGAATATGCGAGTAAAGCTGGTGGTGTAACAATGAGGAAAGAAAGAACACAGGCAATTTTTATAGGTGCAGCGAAGGAAGGGCCAGTTGGCGGGACAACAAAAATTAAATTGGGGTGAGGTTTTTATGGAAGAAAATTAGGGATGGTAGATTAGTTTGACAAGCAAATAATGCAAGAAGATTATTATCCAGATGTTTACTGTAATTTGAATGGCAAATCTTGTTGGCCTCACTCCTGGATGGGTCTGCCAAGAAGTGTGCACCTTTGCACCAAAATCTCCAGACTAAAAACCTATTGTTCTTTTGCTGTTTGCAGTTTTCAAAAGTTATCCAAAGCATCATGAGAGTGAAGAAAGTGTAGTAATTAGGGTGAATATATCACATCTGATTTCATTCTGTGATGTATTCTACAAGATTTTTTTTCCCCCTAAAAAACTCTAGGCTCTAAGATTAGGTTTATTAAAAATAACCTTAATATTCAACTATGAAGCCTGGATTCTTCAAAATTCCCTCCGCATACCTAATGGGATAACCAGATATTTGTTATTTTTGCAATCACCCAAAAGGAACCTAACCTGGATATTGCAATGACATGTTTGACAAATAGCAGAATATTATTTCAGAATTTTTGTTATATATGGGCATTACATTAAACTAATTAACTTGAACGGTGCATTTTATTTGCATAGAAATATTACTGGAAAAAAGTATGTAACAATAGATAGAGAGAGAGAGAGAGAGCGAGATTACAATGGCAGCATTCAAAATTTAAACTGTCTTAAAAGTTTCGGAATTAGCAATAGAGTCACATCCGTACACAACCTTCTCCCCAGAATTATACAGAAACCAAGTACTGTAGTGCTACACATCTACAGCACATCTTTTTGAACCATCGTGCTAATCTATCGCCAATTACTGCTAACCGAACTTGGATCGACACAATCTGAAAATCCAACTGGCACTAAATGCCATTCTATAAAGGGACAGCTAGTTTGTCATCAACGCGTATATTCAATTTGAATGATCAAAGATAACAGCCAAATCAAGTTAGTATTAGAGAAGTTAGTTATTTACTTTCCCAAACACGAATTCGAGCAAGAAAGAAGAAAAATAAACTCTAGGAATATCTTTAATCGTGAGATCACTCCAGTTGATTTTGAATTTAAACTCATAATTAAACAAGAGCGGAAATTTTTAATTCAATTTTGTAATGTTCAAATACACTTCTAACTTAGTGTTTTATAAAATAGATAATACCTCCTCCCTCTAAGAACTTTAAATTTTACTGAGGTGGTTCAATAGGACAATATAATTAAATAGAGCTTCCCCTCTTTAATAGTTAAGACTTTCCCAAACACGAATATGAGCAAGCAAGGAAAAAAAACTCTAGGAATATCTTTAATTGCGAGATCACTCCGGTTGATTTTGAATTTAAACTCACAATTAAACAGGAAGGGAAATTTTTAATTCAATTTTGTAATGTTCAAATATACCTCTAACTTAGTGTTTAATAAAATTGATAATACCTCCTCCCTCTAAGAACTTTAAATTTTACTGAGGTAGATCGATAGACAATATAATTAAATAGAGTTTCCCCTCTTTAATAGTTTAAACTTTTAGATGAAGTGATTTAACATTGTATCAAAGGAAATCAAAGGTCATTTCAAATCTCACTGCCACCCATTTGTGAAAATTCAATATAGAAGGCCTGCGAATAAAAAATTATATGGCGTGCACATGAGGGAGAGAGTTCACGGAGGTGTGCTGAGATATAAATACAAATAATTAACTTTCTCCTCTCTTTGATCCTACAAAGCTTTTAAATGATGTGATTTAATGCTTGACTATATGAGAGTCAAAACTATAAATCAATCTTATAGAGGAGGGGAGTGCATTTCAGATAGGTTACAATATGCACACAATTATACAGATTCCCAAATATACTATCTGAAGAACTGAGAGAAAGATTTGAAGGAGATTAGGAATATAAGCGCGAAAATGTGACTATTCAATGCAGTCACTTTTGACAATAAAACTATCAAACTCGTAGAACTTAGTTGTTTTGTGTATAAAGGTTCTTGTTTTTACTTCAAATCAAGCCTATGCACACTTGACAATTACACTCAGGCTTCTGCTCCAGACATTTGTTAAGCTAGTAGTGCCTAGTACCTTCAAAAATAAAGCAGAAAAGGGAAGCAAATCGAAAAACATGAGTTTGCATGCACGCTCAAATATGCTTCTGTATATGATATGAAAATGGAAGGAGAACAGATTTGCACATCATGACAGAAGCATGTAGTTAACATGGCTATTACCAATCATTTGGACAACATGAGTCAACAATGTTTTTGATTGAAACATTCCATTTTTCTCCTGGTAACCATTTGGGTAGAAAATAAATGTAGGAAGCCTCGAAGGAAGATAAAAAGGAGATGTATAGTTAAGGGTATAAGGATTATGAATCTGTACGCAGGACTATAGGTGAATACAATGTCAGGTGTGTGGGGGGGGGAGGGGGGGCAGTGCCTGCAAATGACTCTGGCCTCATACTTTATTCTCCATATTGCCAATCTTAATGAGGTACAGTTGTTACGCTTATCAAATGAAAGTTATAGTTACAACTTACAATATGTTATATAGAGGTAGAACCCTGAATGTCACTAGTTACTCTTTTTCCTGCAATGCAAGACAGGTAAATTTTTGCTTACCAACAAGAATCCCCTTTCTCTAACCAATGTTTAAAAAGGATAGATCAGGTACCTAGGTGTTTTGCCGCCATGAAATGAGGCATAAGACTCTGGGAACTTTAAGGTGTAAGACTCAAAAAAAAAAAATCATTCAAAAAAATTTTAATTATAAGAAATCATAAACAACCTATATACATTTCAACAAAATTAGAAGTTCAATTTTCAACTACACAAAGTGTCGCAAATAATGAATTTACAAAGAAATAATCATGTGACAAGACCACTAATCAGCAACCAGAATTAAACATCTAAAACAAATCATATGATTTACTAGTAATGTAACAAATTTGTTTGACTTTACAAGGAAATAAAACTTGTAGAAAAGAAACTAAAATACAGATACAACAAGAAGAAGAACATGGAAGAAAGAGAAGATGAGTGAAGTTGCATGTCGCAAGTCTCCTGGCATCATCATGTGTATGACATCGAAAAGTTGCCAGTTCAGTTGAGGGTATCACACTTCGGTTGCAGGAGTAGACGGCTAGGGCACACACGGGAGGTTCACTTGTTTAGTTCTATCCAATTATTTTCGACTTAGTTATTAGGATTGGGTTGTACCTAAACAAAACCCAAGAAAACCATTGAAACATTTAGGTGTATGAAAAACAGAGTCTAATAGTTATTGTTGGTAATACAACCATGAAAGGTCAACAACACTTCGAGATCATGCCTTATTCATTGTGAGGAGTATGTGTCAGTAAGTTAAGGCATAAGCCTTGACAAATGCACTCGAAGCCTGAAAAAAATGCCTCATATGGGGGAACCTCCTCAAGGCATAAATCAAGGTACGTGCTAGGAACTCAAGTCCATTGGATAAAATAATCAAAATTCTTGATCCCTTCTATGATCCTTACTATACCATCTTCTCTGTTGCATGAACTTAAGTCCATCGGACAATCATATTTTGTGGTAAATCATGCAATACATTATGAGTTATGAAAAAGTCAAACTAGATTGCTTTGAAGTTAAAACATCTCATAAAAAGGTTATTCCAAGTATATTATAAGAACATGCACGGAATTGTATGCAATCCCAAACTGTATACTAAGCGAGTCACCTGTAGGATTTTGGATGTCAGTGATCAGATACGCACAGAGCAATATCTGCAATTTAGCTGCCTTGCTGAAGTGAATCATCAAATCAGTTGTTACAAATAAGTGAATTGAGAGGTTGGTGTCTCCTGGCAAGTTGTACTGCACCTTTGTTTAGTGACCTCTTCAGCCTCTTCTTTGTGATAGATAAATGGAATCAAGAAATGCAAGCGACCAATTTTTTTCTCACTAGTGCTGTCGTGCTAGAGACAGAATATTCTTTTTACTCCACCTATTCCACGAGCAAATTATGGAATCTGTATCTTGGTTTCATGCGTTCCTCTCAGTCGTACCATAGTGAACTTGGGAAAATATAAAGGTAATATGAGAGGATTCATAATCCTGGCATGTGAATTAAGCTTTCTGTTCAGGAAATCTTTCTTGCTTCAGAGTCTAAGCCAACGAACTCATCATTCCACAATTTTTCAAGAAATCGATCACATGGTGAAGACTAAGAATAAAATCCAAGTGGGGTTGGCTGCTATTCTGTTCAAGTATACTTGTAAACTTAATCTCTCTCAATCATATGCCATATAAGAGATTTAATTTTCTATTTGCATGGATGCGTGTCCTTCTAGCTTGAAATTTCATCAAGTTGTCTGTTTAATATTTATCCAAGTCGTCCAATCAGCAGATAACAAGTACCCAAAGAGGAGTAATCCTCATTTCTCATCATCCCAATGGTTTAATTCAAGCCTCCTCTCATTTATCCTTAGCATGCACAGGACTTAAAGGTATTTGAATTTCCTGACCCTCCAGATCAAAACCAAATATTTGCAGCCTCCAAAGAGGTAATCGAGCAACAAATCAATCGCATCCTTCCATGTTGAATATATACAGGAATTTTCTAACCATAATCTCTTTCGGATAATCAACAAAAGACATTTGCCCCTATCCATTAAAAACGCAACATTACCCATCTCACTTCCCAATCATACAGCACCGAAATTTTCCTACAAGCCTCAAGAATTGCATTCACAGTGCCCTCCACGCTACTCGTCAAATCACAATCCACAAAAGCAATTTTCAATTCACTGAACAGCCCATACATCTCAATTTATGAAACCTGAGAAAAAGCCAAGAATATCCCAATTATATTAACAATAATAAACCGATATTTGGCTAACGTGAAGATGGAGAAGGACACTTCAGAGACGATTCTGCAGAATTATTGAAGGAACTAAGGAAGTCGTTGGAAATTTGCTCAGCACAAGTGAACGGCACGGTGCGGGAGCTGTGGAGGTAGTTTGTGAGGGTCTTCTGGAGTTCTTTGACGGCTTTGGGCCTTGGCCTCTCAGATATTAGGGAGAAGGGTTTATGGGTTCTGAAGGGGTTGTGGAAAATGATGCGTAAGGGCGGTAAATGAAAATGAAGAGGTGGCAGTTGAAGTACCACTGGCGGTAGCGGTGGCGGTGGCGGTGGCGGAGAAACGTGGCTGAGATTAAGGGTTTTGGTTAGTTAAGAATTAAAATACGGTTTTTGCACTTTTGGTCCCCTAACGTTTATACTTATTGCTTATTTGGGTCCTATCGTTTCAATTCTGGCAAAAGCGCCCCAAATGAACCTGATCCCAGTATTGACAGGGAGTAGTTATAACAGACCCTGAAACTGGAGAAGAAATCCATCGACTGAATGTGTCAGATGAGGATGCCAAAAGTTCAAACAAGAAAAAGAAACCTAAGAAGGATGAATGTTTACCATAACCAAGGAGTGGTTGTGTGAAGTTATTGGAGATTGTAGAACTTGAAGAAGATAATTGTGATGAAACTACTGTTGTTGCTACAAAGAGACAACAAGAAGACGAAGTGGTCCAAACAAAAGAAGTCAATACTGAGCGATCCCAAGAAACTAGTGTAAATGAAGTAGTTGACCTCCAAAAATGTACCTCCAATGTAGCCAACAGATCTCAATGTCTCTTACGTCCATGCAAGCTCAGTTCTTGTACACTGGACAAACTGTTGGTCACACGTCGCGTCCTTCGATGGGGGTAAAGTTGGTTGCGCGCACTCCGACGGTCAAGTCAGTCAGAAAAGTAAACATATGAGTGTGGAAGAACTTTAAACGTGAACCTCCAATATAAAAGAGGATCGACTTTGGGAATAACAAATAGAACGGTGATGGACAAAATTATAGCTTGAGAGTCTAAACTTGCATTATTTGCAACTAGCACTAAGGGCGTGTTTGATAGCCCAAGATTTTCCATGGAAAATGGAAAACATTTTTCAACTTTGCATTTTGCCTTGTTTGATGCCAAACCTTTTTCATGGAATTACTTTTCTTGATTTGCTTCACACGGGTGCAATTTCTTTGAATTGGTAGAAAACCAATTCCAGCGAACCTTTTTTTTTTTTTTATTTGACAATGGAAAGAAATTTTATCCACAATTGTGAAAAAAATTTCCTTTTAATAGACAATTTCTATGAAAAACAATGTCAAACGAACACCAAAAGATCCAAAATTTCAACATGTTCCAGATGAAAAATTATATCAATCAAACACAATTAATTACAATTCTCAGTAAAACAATTTATAGGCAATTCAATTCCCTGAAATTCATTTTCGTTCCATCCATTTTCCACATTTACAATCAAACGGACCCTAAATGTGAGCTTTTATACTATAAGAAGATAAATGATGGACGTAGGATGAAAAGATATGTGGCCTCATTCGTGTGGCTGATGCCTCTAATTTTATACGTCAATCAATCATAAGCCTTAAATGCTTGTACTACTCTAGCATCCATAATGCCTAGCATGCTGCTTTGAACTTGACCGAACAGGCTAGCAGTGGCGGCGGTGACAGTGAATGGTCACATCAATCATATATCAAAAACGATTGTTTGGGAGATCTCGTGTTGAGCTCCTTCCGTGGCCTCGCCTCCACTCATGGGCTGGCTCTTCCCATGAGGGTTAGTGTGGTTTGGTGGGGTCGGTAAGTATATTGGTTCGGCCACAAGAAGGGGTTCGGTTAGATCAGCCTCGTGTTAATATATTTCGGGGCGGCGTGAGGGCACCTTTGCTCGTTATGTAGGATATTTGAGGCCTTGTGAATCAGGGCATAACCGAAGTCATGGATGAGAAACCTGAAAGTCAATATGTTTATCTAGATGAAGCTTCTGTTGAGAAGGTAAGTCATACTCAATTCAATGCAGATGCAAACCATAATGAAGAATGTTGTGTGCCTCGTTTTTTTGAATCCATCAATGCCAACATGGATAACAGATGGGGGTGAATTTATTGATGAACATCAGGAGTACATATGGGGACAATGGGAAGCTGAATTTGGTGATCACTGAAGTGACAGAATGGAGGATGAAACTATGGAGGATGTACACCAAGTAGCTGAAAGGAATGCTAATGGATACGAAGCAATGGAGGATGTACACCAAGAAAGTCAACATGAACCCCAACCTGGGGAAGACACTGTGGATTCTGAATACAATATTATGGAAGATGCAAATACTAAGGGAACTGAAATAACGAGGTTTGACCCAATTAACACTAAGTGGGGATGAATAGGTGTAAGAAGTGGTATTAAAACTAAGCAAACTATAAAATGCAACAAGTCACTAATTATTGTATCTACATGAAGTTTAATCAAATTAAGTCCTGGCAGTCAATTAAGCATACAGATCAGATGTTGTGATATGCTTGAAAAGTCACAAACAATAACATGATGGCTTGAAAAGAAGCCAGCCTCACGGTGGAGCAGGGCTCATTTTAAGGAAGGACACTGTTGCGATATGCTTTGAACTTGTGGGTGGCTATTAATTTCACTATACTTGATAGTTGATACAAGAGAAAAGCCCATGCTAACTATATTAGAGCAGATCAGATGTTACATAATGAAAAGAATTGTGAGGAAAAGAGTGTGGGCTGATAAATGGAATAATGAGGTGGGACCAAGGGAATGAGAATTTTGGAGAAGCATTCACAGTTGTGGGGAAGCTAGTGGCAAGATGTCTGTGGGAATTATAAGTTTCAGGTGAGGAATCTTCAAGGGATCATACATGCAGTGGACTTGAGAGCAAGAAATTGCTCGTGTAGGAGTTGGTAGCTAAGTGGATACCATGTTCTCATGTGATAGCAAGTTTGCATTCTTGGAAAATGGAGGCCCAACTGATGGACTACGTGGACGATTACTACAAGGAAGCAGCTTACATTACAACATATTCATATACCATTTTTTCTATGAGAAGCCCTAAGTTGTGGATAATCCAGGCCAAGTTCCTCTAACACCACCCTTCCATACCAAGGCCTTGGCTGGAAGACCAAAGAAAGCTAGGATAAAGGGACCTGATGAACAAGAAGAATCACATGTTCAGCCACATACAGTTAATACAAGCAGGTGTGAATTGAGATGAAGTGCAAGAAATGTGGAGAAGCAGGCCACAACAAGAGAACCAGTACACGTTCAGCAACACTAGCTGAAAATACCTAAATTAGTTGGGAGTTATCTTTTGCGCTTTTTGACTACCTACATTGCTGGAGATAGATGTAAGCTTATAATGTTGATGCAACATGTTAGAATTTGTTTTGTCTGGGTAAGTTCGAGTTGTCATCTGATGTATTTTGATGTCAAAAAACATATTAGGGAATTGTATTAATATGAAGTGCTTGATGATGACCAGTGAAGTGGCATTCTTTAGATAAGTGTTTATAAATGTTTACGCATTTCAGTTTACTGTTTGTCGTAATAGTGGAATGGAAGTTTTTCTTCCTTTTCCTTCTCTTCTACCCACAAAAGATAAAAAGAGTGAGATGCCCTTGGTTCCATACCCGATTCATAGTGCCAGCACGAAGCTATGCTGCAAGTAATAAGGTAGTCAGCACCTAGTCAACGCCTTTCGAAGCATTAACTCACGTTTGGAACTTGTGATGGTACTATGCTTTAGGCAAATTTTATTGCGCACCAGGTTTATTTTTGTCAATCAATTTAGAAGACAGGAACCAACTATTTAAAATCACACATTGGTACCAAACTTGCTATTTCTCACAAACAATAGATATAAATCTTGCCAAATACTAGAAACGATGAAACCTTGCATTCATCTTCTTCAGATGTTTTATTTACATCAATTACAGTGAAATTGAAGCTTCATTAACATAAATGAACCTTAATTTAATTAAAACAAACAGACTCAATGACATAGAACAACATTACAAGAAGAAATTTCAAGAGCACATTTGCAAGATCTTGGTTGAAATAACTCCACAAACAAAGCCAAAGCACCAAAACTTCCAAGTAGATCCCAGCTTCATCCTCAAATTCTTCGCTTGTTTTTGGTATTCAATCTTTAACCTGGACACAGCTATGGCGAGAAACAAGTTTTTCTAAAGCAAAAGTTATTTTCGAAAATGGATATAGTAATCGCAACATCAAATGAGTATTGAAAATGAAACTCTTATTGATATAACCTGCTCATAAAGAATACTGTCAATTCTTTGAGATGAGTATGAAACGCTTAAAAAAGTAAAAGGAACATAAACCCTAAAGAGAACTTGTTCTTTATTTCACCTTTATAAAATACTGCAGATTCCATATTTAAGTGCTGTCCCAAAATTCCAGGGAAAAAAGGCACCATGAATTTCCATAAGCGCATATACAGGATGATTGCTCCTAACCCGGAATAAACACATCTCCAGAAAGATTGCATCTAACCCAGCATACAACATAGTCATTCTCAACGTGAAACCTGTCAAACTGGAACAACGATGGTAAAATCAAACCTTAGGCATCTCTCAAGACCTTTAGTTGATTTTTAGATACCTTGTATGAATGAAGAGTTATTGACTCCAACCATGCTGGACATTAAATTAGATAAATTGAAAAATTCAATTAAAAAGGGAAGAAAAGAAATTCAAGCCAAAATAATTAGATAGATCAGACTGTAAATCTTTGTCAATCTCCAGTTCTGTTAGAGAGATCACAAAGCTCGACTACTTTGTGATCTTCTTTTGACCACTACCACCATTTGCCTCATTCTCTCATACGTTATTTTGTCCAGCAGCTCTCTCCCACGGCTCTTCTTGTTTTTTTTCTCATTCTTGC